TTTTCAAACATGACCTCTCTGTGGGTGCTAGGGCTCTGGGAAAAACCACCGCTGTGCCCATTACTTCTCTTTGTTCCCTTCCTCACCCCAGATGGTGTGGCTGATGGTGTCTCCTGGTGTCATGGTGACCACTCCTTGTACCCCCTCCCCTTGTTACCCCTCTGATCTGTTTCCCTTCTCAGCCAGGTTGTGTCCGCAACCCCTCTCAGCCTCTGCTCTGCACGTTGCTGAAGGTCCAGGCTCTCCTCAAGTTCTGCGCTTGAGCAATAAAGTGGAAACCATAAAACCTGGCTGTCACATCCCTTTGTGTTCAGCCTCTGAGTGGCGGGTGGGTGGTGGACTGGGTACACTATGGGTAAGGAGCAAAATTCAGACAATGACCCATCTAGTCACCAGTCCAGCTTAAAATGCAGCTTCTGGAAGAAGCAAGTAGCTAAGCCCTGGCCCATCTCTGTGCTGTGCAGCCCAGGACCTGGTTTCCAGGTGTCCTGGGCGTGCCTGGCACTCGGTAAAGAAGAAAACCGCATCTAGAGGCTGGGACCAAACGTGACGTTTGAGATTCTATTGTCTACTGTGTAGTTTCTTGCCCAGTAATGATGTCATCTTTTGATTTGCTTTCTCATCAAAGTAAGCCCCTGGTATCACTGCCGCCCATAGACTCAGTAAGTTACGAGCAAGGTGCAGACAGACCTTTGGGCTGCCTTCTCAGTCTCAACAGAGAAGCGTGTGCTCTGACCTCTGCTGCTTCAGCTTGATGGGATCCGGGGAGAAGCCAGGGTGCACAAGGCTGCCATGCTGAGCCAGTTCCAGGTGATCTTGGCTGTAGGACAGAGCTTGTCTGTGCCCTTGGCCCTCCCTTCTGTTGTGTGGATAGTAAGCGGGTAGTCAGCCCACCCTCGTGTCTGGTTTCCTTCAAGAAGACGTGATTATACTTTTGTTCTGGAAGATTTCTTGCATGGGGAAGGGAAGCAGGTAAAGTTTGACTAAGTCACACCGCTTGGATGGTGCTGAAGCCAGGACAGAAATTCGGGAGTTCTCATGAGTTCACCTCCAAGTTATGTACTTGGTTCCTATCTGGGACATTTTGATGTTCCAAGATTTGACCCTTCTGCCCTATTAACCAAGATGGCAAGTAATTCCTGTGTAATAAGCCTGGCAATGAACCGACCACAAGCCTCATGTGGACTAACGACTCCTCACACCTTCACAGAGGAGGTACCTCGTTAGTCCACCTCACAGAGGAGCAAAGCAAGGCTTGAAGGCGGTCTCGAACTCTGCTGTAAGGTTCAAGTGGCTTCAGGCAGCTCTGGAGCTTCTGTTCATGTGCAAAATAGGTGGTCAAGAAAGACGCACTCCTAGAACTCCATCTCTAGATGCTTCTGAACCATCTCAGGAACTAAAACTTAAATTACATGCCTATGAAATGCGAGATGGGTAGACCTTGATTTATGTTGCACTAAAACTGCCTTGTCCGGATGTCTTGTTAGGACTGGAAATGTTTATGGTGAAACATAATCCCACCACATATTTTGCTGTAAGTCGTGGCTTAGGTTCGTTTCCTGATGAGTTACACCCATCTCATTACCACGTAAATCTTCGTCTGTGGAGGGAAGATGTCATCTTGTGTAAGGAAAACTAGCAACTGGTACTATTTCAACATTTGCAATTGGTCCCTGAGAAGTTTCGCTGGTCCAAACATCCAGGGTCTCGGCGTTTCCTTTCTGCTCTCCAGCTAACTACCACCTCCCGGCACTCCTTTCCCCAAATCACCTCCAGCTAAAATCTCCTGCCTTGCCGTCCCTCTTCCCTTCCTTGCAGTGCATTGCCCAACCTCCAAATTGGATCCCTCCCTCCAACTTAGACTGAATATGAGATTCGTTATGACCCACAAAACCTTGCAAGACCTGGCCCTGCCTATCCACTACAGTACACTTGACTTCCCAGTCTCCACGGGCTCCATAACCCTGAGAGTGAAAACTAGAGATGAATTGTATATCCTGCTTTGCTTGAAGAAATGATTGGTCAGCCCATCTTAGAACTAATAAAAAGGGTCAGCAATAAATGGGAAGACCCCCACCCCCCAACAGGATGGGCTGACTGGCTGCAGCTTTGGGCTCAGGAACAACTGTTAGGGCTGGCATCGGGACAGGCAGTGGTGGACTCGTACATACCATTGGTAGGAATCAGAGTCGACACAACAGCACCTAACAAGTTAATTATTACCCTCTAGAGAGAAATGTATCGTGAAAATGAATCAGTATGCCTGAATGATTGACTCCTTCCTCTGTCTTGGCGATTAATTTACCTGGGGCAGAACCCCTCAGAACCGTGTAACCTGTTGAAATGACAGCCGGCGAAGGGCATTGTGAACAAAGCCCATGTAGGCGTTAGAATGCTGGCTTTCTGGATGTTGCCATTGCTGACTGACTGTGGTTCCCGATGTTGGCCAACCTCATGGTAACGGATGCACCAACTATCCCCAGTTATAAAACCCAAGAAGCATAATAAAACTATTGAACAGCTAATAAGTTTAAAAAAAAAAGAAAGAAAACTTCCAATTTGAGAAGCAACATAAGAATGAAAGGTTTGCTAACTGGCTCTGAGGATTGGGTGATTGTGGGGGAAAGCCAACCCCCACAACTAACCGTGGGTTCAGTAGGCACAATTGTATGGCTAAGATATATAGAGGTTATAATGAAGTCATAGAGAATAAGGAGGGAAAAGAGGGATTGAAATAACGGAGTCAGACATCTCATGGTAGCATGCTCACCTCAGCTCCACTTGGTGGTACAGGGGAGAGGAAGGAGGACCAGGGGAGGGGAGGGGGAAAGAGGGGGAGCATTTTATTACTAACCAAGGCTTATATATCTTTTTTGGGGGGGTGCAAGCCCCCTAATTACAGGTAGGGACTTACATCACAGAAAGGGGTTGTGCTTTAGATAATACAGTGATGGGGGGTGGCGATCTAGGGGTATACACACAATAGGAAGGGGAGGGATTGGGGGTACACATGTGACAAGATGGGCGGATCCTAGATTCAAGATGGCAGCCTAATTTTGGATGTCACTGAGGAGGTTTGACCTGTTCTTTGGCTCTCCATAGAAACCATAAACAGTAAGGTGCGAACCCTACCTACAGTGGACCAGACTGATGGCTGAAAGCCTTCAGGGAGAAGTAACCCATTGTCCTTAACAGCAGGGAGGGAGTCCCACCTGTGGTGGGGCTAGACAGTAGTCTGAAGGCTGAAGGCATCTGACCTCCCACCATGTGTTGGCATATAGCCTCTAATGTTTGGCATATCTTTGGGGGAGACAACTCGAGAGAAATCTTTCTGTTTCCCACAGGTGATAATGATGAAAAAGTGCCCCCAGGAACTTCCAGCATCCTTTGGTGAAAAGAAAGGCCCAGCATACCTTATCCCTATGCACACCCCAAAACATGTCCACGTTCCTTAAAGCCCTGGGCTGGTCTCCATTAATTGTGTCCTTGAAGTAAAATTCAGAAAAACATTTTACATGAGCAGTGGTATTTCATCTGTTCACCATAGAGCAGACGTCTGGGCAGTCCCTCACAGAGGTTCATCATCCTTTTTTATTTTAAACCCACTCCTTCGTGTTTGCACTTAGTGGAAATGAGCTCACTGCCCTTTGGTTAATGACTGTCTGAGTCGAAGTCGCAAGACAACAGCCCTGGCAGTTCTGGGATCAAAGTTTTCCTACGTGGATGGTCCTTTCCGATAGGAGCAAACTTCAGGAAAGGGGGTGGGGAGGCTCCAGGTAGAACTGACTTAACACCCGCATCACCCTGCAGAGCTCCCCAGCTGCCCGATTTCAAGGCATAGAAAGCAGTGGAGAAATGGTTTCTGATCAAGTTATTCTGAGAAACCGGTTCTGTTCATGACTGTAGAACCTGTAATGTGCTACGGCACACTGAATTTGAGAGAGGAATGGAGGGGCTCAAATCGAGCCCATTCGGAAGCCTTGGCCTCCCCACACCACAGAGCAAAGAGTGGCTTTGGGGAGGGGGGGGCAGGCTTTGAGGGGCTAGCTCTTACCTTGGCATCCTCAACAGACAGAAAGGGGATCTGGACAAAATCTTAGGAAGATTCCCAATAACTTGCCCCATTTTCTCCATGGCAGGTTTCTATTGAAGCTATTGCTTGTCTGGTTTGTAAAGAATATGCCACCCACGCAAGTACAGCTATGTCACCTAACCAGGAAAGTGGCCTGCCTAGACAGTTCTGGGTCCAAAAATCACACTGAAAGATGACTGCTTCACTTAAAACAGTGGAGACCATCCGCCATGTCATTGAAAAGGAGGGGCCAAGATCAGGTTTTCCTGTAGAGCTCTTTCCACAGAGCTCTGCAATGCCTGGCCCTGCGATCTGTGAGTGCTTACCCAATGTAGTTATAGTAGTTGATGCCAAGGGACAAGGGGGAGGCACAGAATGGTAAGATGTTCTCCGAGCGGCATCTCTGAGAGACCACGCTCACCTTGCTATCTAACAACTGGGCTCTCTTGACAAAGGGCTGATCTTGACACTGATCATAATGATGTGACCTTGATGGCAAGCACACTCCCTCCCGTCAAAAAGCACAGAAAGGTCAAGAGCAAGAAGCCC